ATTGCTCCTTATCCCTCGAATGACATGGGCGTGATCTCTTTTGAGAATTATTTATTGTTGGTGTGATTAGCTCAGAATGGTCAGTAAGAAACAGACTGTGGATTTTGTTTGCAGGATTTCACCATGTGCACGCCGGTGTTAGGTGTAAAACATTCATTTTCAGACTCTGTTGCTGGGAAGAGACGTGCCCACCTTTCATTCACAGCCTTTTAATGCATCAGTTCTTGCCTGCAGGCAGCTTTCTGTGCAGTTAGCAGAGACTGAAACACCTTTCCTGCTCCTGGGTGAGAACCAAGCAGCGAGCAGGATGTGCTTGTTCAGCAGTTTGGTTTTTTTTCTCCAACCCTGGTTGTCAAGGCGCATCGGCCTGCATGTTTTATGCGTTTTCCTCCTGCAGCACACCTGATTTCAATTTAAGTCTGATTAACATGTTTTCCCTGAACTCCAGTCATCTGAATCGGGTGTGTTAAAGCAGGAAATATTTAAAACATGCGGGGCAGCGTGCCCTGAGGACCAGGGTGGGGAAGCACTTCTTTAGAGTATTGTTTTTGTTGTTTGTTTTCATTTTATGTGCTTTTGTTGTCAGTTTTCACAGTGAATGTACAAAATTAAGCAGAAGATTTCAAACACATAAAGCTACTATATTAAATCCAGAGTGCAGAACTTGCGGTGCCCATCACCGTCCGTCTGATTTCCAGGCGAGACCATACGGATCGTGATAGAGGAGTACGTGCAGCACCTGAGCGGCTACCTGCTGCAGCTCAAGTTCGATCCCACCCTGCTCTTCCACTCCCACTTCCAGTACGGGAACCGCATCGCGCTGGAATTCAGCCAGCTCTACCACTGGCACCCGCTGATGCCCGACACCTTCCACATCGACGGAGACGAGCTGACGTACGCGCAGTTCCTCTTCAACACGTCTGTCCTGACGCACTACGGCGTGGAGAAACTGGTGGATGCCTTCTCTCGGCAGGTTGCCGGCCAGGTAACGGCGATCTGAAGGAAACGTCGAAACGACTTCCGACTGGTTTCCTTAACTCTTGACCACATTGCATAAGAATAAAAATTAAAAAAAATTTTTTTTTCTTGTTTGCATCATGTTTCTAAGCTCCTTTTTTTCCTGCAGACTGTAAAACATTCTTTGGTTGTTTGTAGTGGTTGTAGACGACGTGTAACATTTTAGTTTGTCTGCTTTTGTGTGACAGCAAGTCTTGCAAGCAACTGATTGCAATACTGTTGGACGTTAATTAATTGTTTCCTGTTTTGCTGCATTATTACTAATAATATGTTGACATGATGTGTTAAAAAAAATGGGTGTTGAAAAAGTTGTTTTATTTTGTTGGACATTTCCCAAAGTAAGCCTCAAGAGGTTGCCAGATCTCATACGAGGGGATCCTGGAATGTTTTCCTCTGCTCAAGAACAACAAAACTAAAACGATGGTTTTTGTATGATATGCATCTGAATAATTTATTAGGCACAGATAATGACAAGTTTGGGCCAGTCTTCAGGACTGTCTTAAGCCTTTGTTCAACAAGGTGTCTAAAATTAAAAAATCCCTTTGGAGATTTTTGGAGTGGCTGCAGCAGATTTGTCGTCTGCACAGACATCTTCCATTCCATCACACCGTAAATATGCTCTGTTGGATGGAGACCTGGCAACTGTGGAAACTCATAAGGAAATCAGTTGGAGGTCGTTTTTATCTTGTGGCATGATGAATTATCCAACTGGAAGCAGCAAAATAATGCGGAATAAACCACTTGCAAGAAGTAACTAAGCAATTCATTTACAATTGTACACATTTCTAATATTTTTAATCTGCAGATTGGTGGAGGCCACAACATGAACGCTATTGTCTCCAAAGTCGCCGTGAGAACGATAAAGGAGTCCCGCGAGCTCCGGATCCAGCCTTTCAACGAGTACAGGAAGCGTTTTAACCTCGAGCCATATACATCATTCAGAGACTTCACCGGTAAGACAGATGGCTGTTGTGAAACCCATGCAACTCCAAGTGCAAACTACCTGGAACTAGACTTGCAGCTGTGAAAACACGCTCAAAAGGCTGTTGACCTACAAACCGTAGCAATAGGAGAGATGAACCATTAGGATTTTATGTTACAATTTGACGTAAAAATCATTTGGAGACATTTTGTCTTTGTTTCAAATAGTTCCAGAAACGAGTAAGATTTATGGCTGAAAAAAAAAAAAACTCTGGCCACCATAGTCAGGGTCCAAAATATTTGAGGGTGCATAATATGACAGTGCTCTCTTTGGAAGGCCAGAAAAGGTCAGACTCAGAGCAGCAGCTCTCTTGATTTCATGTCTGAAAGAGTGTGTGTGTGTGTGGTGCTGCAATGCTCAGAGCACCAACGCCACACATGCAGCTTTGAAACTTTGTTCATGGGGAAAAGCCAGGAAAAGCACATAAAACAAGTGCAATGGAGCATCTGCCTTGCTGCTAAATGCTCCGGTAATATTATAGCCTGGCAACAAATAAAAAACCAGGTTTGAGTTTCTTTCATGCGTCATATTTGGGGAAGGATTGAAGAAAATCAGTCTTCATTTAATGTCGATGGCCGGGTTTGGGATTTGACCTGTGCAAAGGAGTTTTTCTATGATTGTGTTGCTCTGACAGCTTTTTATTGTACTCCTCAAACACTTTCTGTCACATTACAAGTCCCAGCTTGTTTTAATGGAACTAAAACCAGCTGTTCAAAGTGATGCTAACTTGTAAAGTAGAAGGAAAATTATGCTTTATTTTTAAAATCTTATGCAAATAAAGGAAAGCTGACTGTCTTTTTTTATGTAAGCATCAGCTTTCCACACCTCAATCTTTGCTCTTTCTTCTTTTCATAGTTGCTCAATTTCAGTCAAATTGAATGAAGAGCAACTCTGTCTTTTTTTCTTGATAGTTTTTCAATTCGATTTGGGTCTGGACTTTGACTAGGGCATTCTAGCACATGATTGTCTTTTAAGCTAAACTATTTTAGAGCATCTTCTTCTGTACCCTTCTGAAGCGTTACATATTATACTGATCTGGCACCTTAACATTCACACATCTGTCAGATTGACATATTTACTCATCTTCCTCCTACCGTACTATCAGTGTACATTTTAAGTGTTACTTCTGGTCCTATTTTTTTTTTTTTTTTTTTTTTGCAGATAACGAGGAGATAGCCAGCGCCCTCGAGGAGTTCTATGGGGATATCGACGCTCTTGAATTTTACCCCGGGTTACTGCTGGAGAAGACTCGACCAGGGGCGATATTCGGAGAAAGCATGGTGGAAATGGGCGCCCCCTTTTCCCTCAAAGGCCTCCTGGGTAACCCCATATGCTCCCCAGAATACTGGAAGCCCAGCACATTCGGAGGCAAGGTCGGCTTCGACATCGTGAACTCGGCCACTCTGAAGAAGCTGGTGTGCCTGAACTCCCGGACGTGTCCCTACGTGGCGTTCAGTGTTCCAGCAGAGGAGAAACCAGTCAGGAAAGAACCAAGCACTGAGCTATGACCATGTGCAGATCCCCGGGGAGGGGGAGTTTTTTTTGTTTGTTTTTTTTTACACCAGTTGGCTGCACAAAGCAAGCAAAGATATTAGTTTGGAGAAAACAGCAGTGCTTGTTTTAGCAGCACTACAGATCTTTACAGAGCCCAGTGCTCTGTGTGAAATCCAACTCTCCTGTTACTAAACTCGCTTGCAGCGCGTCCCACACTTGAACGATCACATCAATGAGGAGCCAAACATGTGTTTTTTATTAAATGCTTTCTGCCTACAGACTGAAAAGTTGTTGAAGTTTGGACCGTCCAATAAAATAGATATGTATTTGTTGGTACATGGTTTATTTTGGAATAAAAACTATAGCCACTTGATGTGCTGTTATCCATGAATAAAGATTGGAAGGTGACATCTATTGTTCTCTCAACTTCCATTTACTGAAAGCACTGAATCAGTATTTATTCTGGCCTGCAGTCGTGATGGGAACGGAAGCCTCTCACAATAACCGTGGGTGTGGGTTTAATGATTGGTCACATTAAACACCAACGTTACATTAAAGGATGGAAAACACTTTAGGAAACCATTTGCGATAGATAAAGGTCTTTAGAGACAAAGTGATCTATGGAAATCTTAAGACAACACATGCTCATTTTTATAGGATGTTTCTCTACCATGGCTGAAACTGTTTTGTTTTGTCTTAGAGCGAGACTGAGTCAACACAAATCTTGTTACTGGCACCATGCGCCTTTTGTAAGAACATATAAAGGAAAGATCTGGATGTGTGACTTGGTTGCAAGTAGCTCCTATGCAGACGATTGAAGTCTGGAGTTTGATTTAAGCGTTTCCAGGTCTGGAGAAGTGTAGATAAAGAAAAGTATATAAATAGAGAGAGGGAGAAGAAAAATATTTGTATTCAAGACATTGTCAAAAATTCGTCTTTCTCCCATCCATCTTCCTTCTTTTCTGACTTGTCCCCTTTCTTCCTTTCTTGCTTCCCCTTTTCCTTTGTTCATTCTTTTTTCTCCTCTTTATTTTTCTATCCTTCATTCACTCCTTCCTTTTTGCTTACTTTCTTTCTTTATCGTCTGCTTATCTTCTTCATTCCTTTTTTATTTTTTATCCCTTTCTTCCTTTGTTCTGCCCTGTTTCCTGTTTCCTTTATTCATTTATTCCTTTCTTCTGTCCATCTGTTTTTATTTTTCATTTCTTTTTTCCCATGTATTTTTCTTTTATAGCCGGGACACTTTAGAAATATGTGTCATAAATTCATTCTATCCTTTGTATTTTTACTTTTAGTATAAGAGTAGTAAGAAAATATCCACGTAGAGGGGTTTATGGTCACATTGCCCTCTAGGGGTGAAAGCTCTAACTACATGTAAAGGCTTGCAGCAAATTCTCATCCCACAACGTCAACCGTGTTGCCTTCAAGTGCTTCCAGTAAAATCTAAATTACATGCAATTAAACAGTTTTTGCAGTTTTTCTTTACTATAGTGGGGCATCTAGTAGAGACTATCTCAAATGTTCTGTGGAAAGTTAGTGAAAAATGTTCAGGAGTAAACTTTTGAGGACATTTGAGAGTAAAATGAACTTTGAATAAAACATGTCAGCAAGGGGGAAAAAAGCTGTTAGAATCGTCCCATGTGACCTGATTTATATCTATGAATCTAATTCTTTCTTGAAGAAACGCCTAACATTGGCAGCATTGTCTTTCACGATTAATGAGCTTTGGAACAAGACAATAATACATTGCTAGTTCAACCAAAACAAAGATGGACATAAAAATTGTAGACGTCACCCCCCATCCTCCCAATCCAACCCAAAGCAGAATGCAACATTTTTAAAAATCAAATAGAGGTGGAACATTTTGGGTGTTATGGTCTGTTAGCTCAGTTCTGATAAATATTAAATCTACTTCCACTGACATAAATCTGTTTGCTAAAAAGTTGAATATGACTCTTCATAAAAATGACGTGTATTTCTGGAAGTAATACATTTTGACTGATGTTTTGTTGCAACCCTAATCCTAATGTGGAGAAAAGTAAGCAGCTTTCTGACTGGCAGTGAAATATTCTCTCTCTGAGCTTCTAATCACGGAAACTTGAAATCTGTCTCTTTTCAGACTCCATAATTTCATTGTGTACTTGCGTCCTTTATTTGTTTGTAAAATTAATGAGCATATTTTTTTTTTCTCATGATGTTGCAAAGAAACAATCCATTACAGGTAGGACCAGACGCATTGCCTACATAGGTTTCCACTAAAGCTTTGCTTGCCGTCAGTGCAGAGCTTGGGCAGGAATTACTTCAAGCAAGTGTGTGTTTCTTAGTTATGATTTCATATTTAAAGCTTTTGAAATAAATAATATTGAACTGTAGAAGAAATAACGGACAAAAAAAATAACCCACATCGAGGAAATAGCAAAGTCCAGTCTCAAACTATTGGCCATGATTACACAATTACAAAAAAAGTATGTCTGTTGTGTGTTTGAACTCAATATTCCTTATTCACCAAGTCTCCCTAAATGCGTCATCGGAAGGGGCGTGGCCTGTGGGAGCTAAACTAAACAGATTAAAGAGTGAACAGACTAAGCGGCGCTATTTTAAAGCGGTTTCTGGTGGTATTTTTAGGTAAGTTGTTATAAATAAGAAGTTTCACCAGTTTTGTAAACATATACAATTTCAGTTACACGAAAGAAATTCAGCTGGTTGTTTCGTTTGAGCCCAACAAATGAAAGCTAGCTAGCTTCCAGTGCTAATAAAGCTAAGTTCTCTTTTCTCCGAAGAAGAGTGTGTTCGGCCTGTTTCCAACATAGAATAGTTGAAATAAAACAATTTAATATATATTCTTTATAGAGGGTTATACTATTATATTAAAGAGAAGTGGACTGAACTACTGGGTTGGCTATTATCTCGGCATCGGCAGGTTTGTTTAAGGCCGCCAAGCTACTGTTTATATGTATCGCACATACTCCATAGAAATCTGGAGATGTACTATCACTACAGTAAATAAAACAAATTATGTATTGTTCTTGGTTTGGCTAAATGTAGTAAGCGTTAAAAAAAATTGATAGGTGAGAGGGATTTGTCAACAATGACTTTCTTATTTTATCTCCATCTGTTTCCCCGACTGGATTTTACACGGATCTTAGCACCACAACAGACCTTTCAGCTTAAGTTTAATGAGCTGCTGATGTCCTATTTTCCAAATAGGCACCTTTTGTTGTCGTCTGAACGCTTGTGTGTCTGTTGGTCTGGATTGCAGTAGAGTATAAACGACGCGTTTAGGTAAACTTTTTATGAAACGTGTTGTCAATTAGGACAGGAATAGGTCCACCAGGGCCTGATCTTCATATGTGGCGTGTTTTCAGAGCTGAGCCGCTGCCATGACTACTCTGGATGACAAGTTGCTGGGTGAGAAGCTGCAGTACTACTACAGCAGCAGCGAGGATGAGGGCAGTGACAACGACGATGAAGATGGGGAGAGGAAGACCATCCGGGATGCGGGCGCCACTGAGCCCGACATGGACTACAGTGCAGACGGAAGTGCTGTCAACACAGGTAACAGATTGATGGGATTGTTGTCTTATTCGTTGTCCTGCTTTATCAGTAGACTTTAACATGTGTGAGAGTCTCATTTGGATAAGCATTGCAAAAGTATTCGTACATACGTCTGAACTTTTTCACTTTTACTCAACCCACCTCAAAATATCACTTTTAATCTCTCTGCAAACCAAGAATAAAAAGGCTTTTGAAAGCACTCAGTCTATTGTATGTTGGAGGATGCAATACTGCCACACTTTTCAGATTTTTTTTGTGTAAAAAAAAAAAAAAGATTTTAAAATCCCCATAAAATGCATTGCAGTTTGTGGTTGTACCTCGACAAAATGTGAAAACAGTTCAAGAGGTTCCGGATACTTTTGGAAGCTCTGTGCCTTTTGAGCATGAAAAGAAAAAAAAAAAATGACAACATGGATTTATTGATTTTATTTATTTATTTCTAACGTTCTGTTTCAGGGCCGAAGGGAGTCATCAACGACTGGAGGAAGTACAAGCAGCTGGAGGTGGAACAGAAACAGGAGCAGAAGAAAGAGATGGAGAGACTGATAAAGAAGCTGTCGATGACGTGCCGCTCCGATCTGGACCTAAAAAAAGACAAAGAGGAGGAGAAGAAGCTGCAGGACAAAATTAAAAGCAAAGTAAGCAGGAAAGAGCTGGATTTGGTTTATTTCTCAAATCATTGAAGTAAATGTGACTCCTGAATGTAGCTGGAATAATTAAAGTGCAAGGAAATCATTAAGGTAAGCTAACCTGCTTAATAAAGTTTGGATTTGGTCGTATTTTTATTTATTTTTTCCTTACGTCTCTGTGGTTGACACAATTAACCAAACAAAACGCACACCGCTACGGATCTTTTATTTACTTTTATTCGACAAAAAATGATGAACTGTCCTCTTCTCGGCTTTGTCTCGCTCCGCAGATGACCATGCAGGAGTACAACATGCTGCAGGAGGACGAGGACGACGAAGACTTCCTCCGGCAGTACCGCATGCAGCGCATCGAAGAGATGCGCCGCCAGCTCTGCCGCGGGAAGCGCTTCGAGCGGGTGCAGGAGCTCGGCAGCGGCGAGGAGTTCCTGGAGGCGCTGGACAAGGAGGACAAGAGCACGCTCATCATGATCCACATCTACGAGCCGGAGATCCCGGGCTGCGACGCCATGAGCGGCAGCCTGCTGTGCCTGGCGCACGAGTACCCGCTGGTGAAGTTCTGCTGCGTGCGCAGCTCGGCCATCAGCATCAGCGCGCTGTTCCGTGAGAGCGCTCTGCCCGCGCTGCTCGTCTACAAAGGAGGGGACCTGATCGGTAACTTCGTGCGGCTCACCGATCAGCTCGGGGAGGACTTCTTCGCCGTGGACCTGGAGGCGCTCCTGCAGGAGTACGGCCTGCTGCCGGAGAAGCCCGCCATGGTCTCGAAGACGCTGCGCAACGGAGCCATCATTCAGAGCAACGCGAGCGACGAGGACTCGGACCTCGACATAGACTAGGCCTGTAAATATCTGATGCTCCGCTTGGTAAAGCTGCACACCCAGTCTGCATGGACCATGTATATTTATTTATGTGAAGCCCTTGTTTAGAGATTCTGCCCTGACCTCACAGCACCAAAGCTAGAAAAAAAAAAAAAAAAAAAAAAGGCAGGAGAAGTCATTCACTTCACGTCATTCCATTCTGAATATTTGGATGAGGGTAAATGTCACTTATGATCACTGTTTAAAACACAGCAGGAGTTCTGCTGTTGCTGTACATACGGTTCATTTCTTTCTTCAAGCTCTGTCCACTACTTGTGTTCAACACATTCCATTGTTTTATCATCCATGTTGTGAATATCAAACCTTCGCCTCCGGACTGACCTTATTAGTTTTGTAACTTTTATATGTGCTGTATCCTCAAATAAACTGCAGCGTGTTTCAAACCACCCCCCCTCCTTTTTTTTTTTCTTTTTTTTACAAGTGGCTAAGACTACAAAGTTGTTGAAGGAAAGTGCAAGTTGAAAGTTGCATTAATTAGTAAACTGATGTGTGGTGACGGCCTGAAACAGAAACCCAGCTGTGCTTGCAGCTCTATAGAAACCATCCTACTAGAGAAGGGGAACATTAGAAAAGTAGCATTGTTGCCGTTTCCTGTTATAAGTAACAGGAATAAGCTCTGCTAATGGCTGGACTGTGGAAGGCCAAAATGACCCTCGTCTGGCTACAAAGTCAAGCAAAAAAGAACCAGTTGGGATTGGGACGCCATAAAATACGGGTAAAATCCCATCAAAAATGCCTCTGTGCTGTCTGTGGTTTCTGTGGATCCTCTGTGTCTTTCAGCTCCATTGGCAAATTATTTTCTTGCTGTGATGCTCCAGGAGTCACAGCAAGAACTGTGACTCCTGGAGACGCTCCAGGAGCGTCACAGCATCTGAATCTGATTAACATTTTTGTTGCTCTAGCAATTTTGGCTTAAAATAAATGTATGCCTACAGAGTGGTGTTTCGATTGAAAAAAGTGTAACCTATTTGTTGTTTTATTCGTACACCAGCAAATATAATCATGTTAGATTAAAAAAATAAAATCTAACAATACAAAGCATTTTCCCAGGCTGAAATAATCATAAAGCAACACACAAATTAGACAACATAGCTTTAATGGGTTTTTTTTTAATACAGTTAACCAAAAATATTTTTAAAATACAATTTATAGTTTAGGGTTGAATTCCTGGCCTGGGGTCTTTTTGCATGGAGTTTGCATCTTCTCCCCGTGCATGTGTGGGTTCTCTCCAGATACTCCAGTTTCCTCCCACAGTCTAAAAACATGACTGTCAGGTCAATTGATCTATGCAATAGACTGGCGACCCGTCCAGGGTGTACCCTGCCTCTCGCCCAAAATGTTTGCTGGAGATGGGCACCAGCACCCCTCCTGACCTCACAAAGGGACAAAGGCGTACAGAAAATGGATGGAGGGGTTATCTATAAGCTTTTACGTAAAATTCGTAATTCGTAAAAAAGCTTTTACGAATGACGTAAAGTCGACTTTTTCGAGCTTCACTCTCACCAACCGCCATCTTTCCAACCACCTCAGAGATGCAGTCTCCATGGCAAGCTTCTGCCTCACAGAGCACCCCGTCCCCTGCAATGCATACAACACAGCTCCTTAAGACTAGCGGCAGCAGCAATCAGTAAACACTGACTCCATCTGCTGACTTCATCATGTGAACTAGTTGTCAGGGTAAAGCTCCTAAGAATGATGTAAAAGGCATAATGGAGGAGTGGCAGAAAGAGTGGGAGCTCCTTAAAGAGACAAAGGCCCAATTTCAAGGCCTTAAATTGTGAAGTCAGATTTTTTTTAAGTTATGTTTGACATATGCAGCATTTTTACAACTGAAGGTAACAGCTACTTGATTGTGCTGTAAAATAGCACAATGCGTCTGAAAAATACATAACACTGTCCATTTAATTAATAGCTAAAGTGCTTTGCTAAACTTTTTCATATTACAACTGCAATTTTCAATGTTTGTTGGACTGTTTATGCATAAGTCGATTTATCACATAACGTCGTAATTGTGCAAGACACTGTTACGCCCCTTTTCAAATAGCATAATTAGGCTTGCAGCTATGATACATCTGAATGAGCTTCGCAGTCGACAAAGCTATCCGAAGGTGATGCATCCTGAAGGTCGACTCATCCGTACTTTGAATAATCGCTCTGATCGGGGTGGGTCTGGGGAGCGATTATCCCCAGAGGCAGCAACAAAACCCAACCGCTTGATTAAATCACTGTATGGTTTCCAGATTAATCCCACAATGCCAGGAGATGCTGAGTTGACATTAAAAGTAAAAACATGAGTGAGGAGGGAGGGGAAAAAAAGAAAGGCCAACTGATGACTACAAGCAGCTGTACAGCACTGTGAGGCAGGGCAGCACCAGCAGCAGGGGGGCCGCTTCCTCGTAGAACGGAGCGGCTGAGCTGTTCACGTCGTGTCCGCAGAAGGCGTGCTCCAGCAGCAGATGGGTCTCTTCGCTGATGCCTGGTGCAGGGGAGGAGAAGCACACTGTGATTATCCGGGAACCGGATCTAAGTGGGGATATGATATGATAATGCGATGCTTGTTTTGTGCGTCGAGTTGATTCTAAACACGTTTCATTGTCTCTCTGCTGCCTGCGTGGTCGTGAAATCAATGCCAATGAAGGCTGCAGCTGACACGCACAGAGCAGCGAGCAGAACTGCGACACAGCTCTCTGAATTCACGGTAAAATTTCGGTAGACCTTGGAGACATGCGCACCGTGTTGGGACCATTCCTCCCACAGGTGCTGGACATCCTCGTTGTGATGCCCGTGGTGGTCGTAATGATCCGGGTCTGCATGAGAAACACAGCAAGCTGCAGTTAAAAGTAAATAAATGAATGAATAAAGAAAGAATGGAAGCAGTCAGGCTAACTCTGGAGGAGCTGCAGAGATCCAGAGCAAAAACGATCCATAGAAGAAAAAAAAAAGTAAGACTGGAGACTGCAGTGTAATAAACATACAAACAGAGATTAAATCATGTTCGTATGTCAGAATGACCTAGTCAAAGTCTAGACTTAAAACTAGCTCAGAAAAAGTGGAATAACTCAAAAACTGGCTGAATACAAAGGCACACCACACCGTTTGGGTTTTTATTGGTAGAAAATGTTAAAAACGTGCTACTGCTTCACAATTATGCACTACTTTGTGTTTATCTGCTACATAAAACACATTGGTGAAGGAACAAATTGTTGAAGGAGTCTGAATACTTTTACTTTAAGCTAAAGTTGCATTATTGCATACACACATGCTGTGATCGTGAATGAGTAAAGAGGAAGAAAAGGAATGAGAGAATCAAGTTAATATGGAAAACAGATATTGTTAGTATAACAAACAATAGTTTCATGCTTTCAGACAGTTCTGTCAAAAAAAAAAAAGAAAAATCTGTCGTATGAAAGAAACCCAAATATGAGGCACATTTTTGACCCCTAAAATTAAAATGTAAAACAAATTAAGTTCTGATTTAGTCATCCTTGTGTTTACTTCGTCATATTTGCAGTTTAGAGGGGAAAACAGCAGCGTACCATTCGTGTGATGCCACAGCATCCGCTTCAGCTCCCTGAGGGCCTGGGTGAGGTTTTCCAGCTGGTCGTGGAGGTGAATGTTCTCCTCTATCAGGGCGTGGATCGTGTCCTGGAGCTCGAAGCCTTGACCTTCCAGTATTAGCAGGGTCAGGGGCAGGAAGAAAAGCGCCAGTCTCAGTCCACTCATAATGACCGAGCACACAGAGGCTTTGTCATTTCTTCACCGACAGCTGCTCATTGCCTTCATTTTGTGCATCTGTGTCCCCTGGTGATTGGTGAGGGAGGTTTTATGAGCTTACAAAAGGTGGGTGGGGTGGAGGGGGAGATCTTTAATTCCAAAGCCGTGAGTGGAAAGCTGCCAGCGGGGCCGCTTTAAAATCTATCGAATCATTCTCCATCAGTGAACACAGCAGCACAAAGCCTGTTTGCAGCACGATCTCATTTACATGAAATGTATATGATTAAATACTGTAAGTAAACTCAGCACTTTCAAAGATGTAAATTATTGGCAATATTCTCCCAACGTGTTGTTTTGACTGCGCAGATCAATACAAGCCAGCATTATTTGATCAGCTGCTGCTCACATTTGCCTCATCTGCCACATGGCAGGTTAGCTAAAATAAAATCTGCCATCTTAAAGTCTCTAAGTGATCAGACGGGCACAATGCAAGCTGGAGGTGGTTTAATGAGTCGCAAACAGTGAAGTCAGGAACTTTCTACCTTTAAAACTCTGGCTGGAAGTAGGTCAGTAAAACCAATCGAGTTCTCGCTGATCCATTTGTAGTCGCGCTGCAAAACCAGTCACATTACTGTGAGGTGTACAGAAGAAAATGACAAAATAACAGAATAAAAAATATCTGCCATTCTGTTCCTATGATTTAGTCCTTACGTTTCCTCCAAGTGTCTTATTTTTCAATAAAAGGAATCAGATTGTAGAGCTTGTGTTTTTACATAAATGACAGCTTTACTGAAGAATAATTAGTATGAGAATTTCATACAGGTTCATATGATATGTAGTTAACATAATTAAGGTCGATGGAAAGGGTGGGTCAGATTTTCTGCAGCGTATAACAAACCTGGTCATTTCAAAGCAACAGATTGTGAGAAGAATCTACACGTGTGAATTTCTACAAAAGAATTATCTCTGAAATGACATTCAAGCTTCAGTGAAGTCTTCCATGTAAGACCTAAAACTACTGAAGACTCAAGACAACATAGAGCGTTTCTTCAAACAAAAAGCTTTTATTTATTTTTCATGCGTATTAGTTTATGCCGTCTTGACAGCCCTGGTGCGCTTCTTTTTCACCACAACAGGCTTCTGGCTCTTCAGAATAGCACTGGCACGACGCAGGGCAGCCTGGAAGGGGGAACAAATAAAACCACCGTTATAATCTCAAAAACATTATGACAACTTACGAATCAAACCAGTATTAAACTTAGTTTTTTCCTTGAAAAACACAGTTAGTTAGTGATCTCACCATGCGCAGGTCCTTCCTGTAGTTGTTCTTGCGAATGATGTGCCTCAGGCTGTTGAGGGTGGCACGGGAGTTCTTGTTGATGGTGACCTTAACGTAGGACGTGGCAGGCTTGTGCTGGCCTGAGCAACGACAAAAGTTGTTTCACATCACGGTCACCACAGAGATCTAACAAATCATAATATAATAAATCTGCGACAAACGAGCCGTCATTAGAAAGCGAGTTTCTTTAAGTCAGTAAGATGCGTAGCGTTTTCTTTTTTTTTTTTTACCTGCACGTCTCTTCAGCACCACCACGACACCCTTGCCATCAGCTGCAGGCTGCACACCGACGGTCTTCTTGTGCACCAAGCCGTTGAAGCGGAAAGAGTTCCTGGACTTCAGGTTGTTGGGCTCCTGCGACGGAAAAATGACTCAGAAATCTATTTCTCTGTCTTATGATGAACTATTTACGCTCAAATGCTGTTGCTAACTACAACTTCTAAATGACAAAATCTGTTTTTGAACCTGTGCATGTGTCTCTGTAGATTTTATGAAACACAGAATTAAAAAGAAAAAGAAAAAAAACCCTAAGACATTCAAATTGAATAAAGATGCAATAAAAAACTGGAATTGGTAGATTTTGAGATTGATCTATCTTCACTGGAGACCAGAACCTCAAAAATACCGTCTTTTAGTGATCAGTCAATGCTTTAAGAACTAAAAGGTTGTGCTGATGTGAGAAAACTCAAATAGAGTCCCCTTTGAGATAAAGTGAGAAAAAAAACATGTTTAGGCAGATAAGTAAGGTAAAACATGTGGATAGAGGCTATTTATAGCAATAGCTACACTGATTATTTATGTTATGCTTGATGATTAACCTAGTATTTCCATAATAATAGTAAAACCACATCTTAAAGTGACTGCCTCACACTGTGCCTCTGTTTCTATCGCAAAATTATGACCACACTCATTGCAAAAAGGTTAGAAAAATACATTTAACGCTTAGGATTCTTTAAAATAGAAGTAAAATGGCAAGTCGAACCTTTACAAACTCAGGGATTGCCAGATATATTTAAATTATTTTGAGAAAAGATCATATAAAGGCACTTCCCCCCAGGTCCTCTAAGCAGTATATATAATTTTTCTGTTAACTTACAATATCTACAACAACTCAAGGTCAATTTGTTTTCAATTTCACCACAACAATCGTACTGGCAAACACTTTGGAGTCGATTCTTGTAAGTACTTACAGTGCTGTAGGTCTGTCCATTCCTCTTGATGAGGAAGCTGGAGCAGTTCCTGATGACCATCCACTGCAAATGGGACGACATGATGAACCTGAAAAATAAGCGGAGCTGTTTAAGAAACATTAAACTCCAATTGATCGTTTTTAACTACAAATGCTCTGAAATGGGAGGAGGCACTGTGCTATTATTATTTACTACGGTAATAAAGCAAAAAGTCTTGTTACAAGACGCGGACTAGTTAAACTCGGATGTTAGGCTCTAGTTAGATAATGTTAGAGCTTACAGTCCATGTGCTATATTTGCATTAACCTTCAGTTTATTTCATTAAAGTTCAGCTCAACCAGCTAACGTTAGCTTCACCACTCATCAGAACACGGTGAGGCCTAAGTTAGCCAACATACTGACACGTTTATCCTTAACTTCATAAATAGAACAAGATCGTTTACTGTGACAAAAAGTGTGTAATAATATACTATGCAAAGCTGTCAAGTTTTATTTGTGTAAATACAATCGTGAACAGAAAACTAATCTATTTTATTTACCGGCTATTAGCAGCCAAAGCGACCACGTTACCTTTTAGCGGAGGAAAAGGACCAGAGAGACCGGAAACCGCTTCACGGAACCTTTTCAGAAATCCTTACGCATTGAAAAACGCTGTTCTGTAAATATTTTGTGAGATGATCCAGGGATGTGAACATTGAAATAATAAAGCTGGCTTATATATTACACTCATAAGTGAATATTTAGCACTTTGCCCTTACACGAACCAATTATTGGTATTTTATGAAAAACTAGTTCTCAATGACAACAGCGGAGGGACACGTTGAATGAATGGTCCATCTGGCATGACGTCATTAATGTGCGTCGCATGTATACAGTTATAAATGAACTCCTGATTACAATTTATTTTAAAGCGTTATGATAGTGTGTCATTTTATATTAAAGCGCGCTGGTTAAAGTGGTAAATACGGACTAAAGAGAGGACGCTGATTATCGGAGATATCGCATTGTTTGACTTTGTTTCTGATCATTTCTTGGCAGATATGTCGAATAAGCCTTATTCGAGGATGTGAAACTAAGTTGTTGGAGTTAAAAAGTTACTTGGGGAACCATTTATCTCAAGGTTTCACTCTGGTTTAATGTAGTAGGTAAAAGCTGTATCTGAATGAGAAAGGACGAGCATGGATAAAGAAGAAGATTTGGAGATACTTGGTGAAGAGCTGTACTCTCTGATCTACCCCAAACACAGGGAGGATGCTGCAAAACTCACAGGTGAGCTCACCTGTATGATGCATTTTATTTTTAAATTATTCCCCGTAACAAAAACATAAACAGCTTTAATATTCTCTGTCCCGTTGTATAAATCCATCCATCCATCCATTTTAGCTACCTTGTCCTCTAAATGCAATTTAATAGTTTGGAAGGTGTGTGTGTGTGTGTGTGTATATATATATATATATATATATATATATATATATATATATATATATATATATATATATTAAAGGGCTGAGGACTTTAGAGATGAGGGTTTGAAGGTGCAAATAAAATGCATAAATGCTAAAGTAAAATCTTATTTGAACCCGGTTGTGTGTTCCAGGTATGTTACTGGAGCTTCCAGCTGCCGTTTTGAGCCAGATGCTGCAGGATGAGGCCATGCTGACTGCAGCTGTGGAGAAAGCTCTTAGAGCTCTGCAGTTATCACCGAAGGCCAGGTATAATCATCAAGCGGAGACTGCAGCAGCGATGCTGGTGTGTAACGCTGGTGAAGACTATGAATAAGCTTCTGAAAAATAAACCTTCCATTGTTTATGTGATTCCTTACAGTGAGGTGGCACAGAAAGATGAGGATGACGTGTCCCAGTCCTCCGACTCTCTCGGGGAGCAGCTGTTTGAGTTAGTGGATGTTTACAACACTGGTCACTCACAGAAAATCACAGGTGAGTAAAATATCCTCGCTCTTCATAAACACAGAGATTACCATTCATTATACATTTTCTTATTAATCTCATTTATTTGTTGATCCATTTGGCCTGCAATTTTTGATATGTTAATAGCTCTCCTTACTGTTATTGTCTTCGTAGTGGTAAATTAAATAGTCAAAGGGCTGAACGTTGTACGTAATCAAACCCACATTCAGTTTATCTACACTTATCAGTTGAGCATACAAACATCTACAAGTCATTTATACAGAGTTACAGTGATGGCACAGATGGCATTCATAGCCAGTATATTGATATATTACTTGTAAGGGCTGTTTTTTTCTTTTCCAAAATTTAAAGTCCTTTTAAATGCCCTTTTGCTAAACAGAAATTGTAAAAGTTAAACAATCCAATGACAGTGTGAATATCAGGACATTCCTATGCTAACTTTAGTTTTTAGCATCATTGCTCAAGATGTACTTTTCTCATGCAATGAAAAAGTGTTTTGCCTTGTGCACAGGAATGCTTTTGGAGCAGCAGAGAGATGCGGTTTTACAACTCTTGTCAGATCCCAAACTGCTGGAGGAACACGTGAATCTTGCCCTGAAGACGCTGAAAGAGTTTGTAGCTTTTTCCTCCGAGTCTTGTCCTCACATTCAATTTATTTCATAATCAAGAGACACATTTTACATTTGAATTGTTTTTTTTAACTGCACAGTTTAATAAAGTTTCTGCCTTTCTTTTTCAGGCAGAACATAGAGGAGACGGACCTCAGCGACGCTTCAGAAGCTGACGAGACAGACAGGCTGGGAGAGAAGCTCTTCTCATTGGTTGAGCAGATGGATTCACTGCATGCGAATGACATCACAGGTGAACTGATTTATTTACCATTCAACGTGCACCATCTCTTGGCTGCGAGAGTCTTCCCAGGCCCCGATGTGTTCTCATAAAGACATCCGCATCGTGTTTTTCTAGGTATGCTCCTGGAGATGGACGCCGCTTCTCTCCAACAGCTGCTTAGTGACCACACAAAGCTGCAGGTTGCAGTTCAGAAAGCACAGGCAGTGCTGGATACTGAGAGCTAAGATGGATTTGATAAACCCAGATAATGAAAACTATGTAATTTTAGCCTAAAATGTGAGCTGGGTATGAACGCAAGATGACTGAGGAGTCTGAAAGACGTCATTCTGCTGAAATGAAGGCTTGTTTCTGAGTCCTCTGTTTGCAGTGTCGGCATCTAATGGAAGACAAATCCGTTCTGCTTCACTTTGGTGCCGAATCTTTACGGTTTTTCTTGATAAAATTGTTTACATGAATGCATAAGAATGAATTTTCTTCTGTAGAGAACTCAGAAATTTGGATCAAGATGCTGCTTTTCGTTTTGCATTATTGTAAAAAAAAAAAAATGTTCAGCTGCTAGGAAATATAGCCGATTTTCAAATACATTAAGGTTGCTTATGTAGTAGTGACATAACTGTCTCCAAATACTGATTATAAAGATATTTATCTTGACTGTTTCTAAGTCCTGTGTGCAGCTGTAGCAAACAAAGGGAGGAGGAAAATGAATGACTGAGCTAGTGTGGCTGGATTTATGTAAATATGTAAGGTTTGATGTGCCGATTTATTTTTAAGTTTACATTTTAATAATGTAGAATATGACTCACTATCAAGGAAGGAGTGACGATGGCTGTTTTGAGCTCAAAATGGCCATTAGTGACACAAAATAGTAATCTGCATCCATTTTCTTAAAGTAGCCAATTATGTTGGACCAATCACATTTCTTCATCCTCCAAAAACAAATTCTTTGGGAAAGGAGCGCACCAAGTGACTCATTCAGATTAGAGAGCTTTAAATGGAAAAGGAGTTTTTAAAAATACAATAGTACTAAAGAAAGATCTGTCTTTATTCCTGACTGAAAACAGATGTTAAAATATTATATATCACGTGAGTTTGTGATGAAATTATTGCTGTACTGATTTCCATATTTTCAAAATAAATAGTTTAACACCCAATCAATGTTATCAGTACAGTATCTACATGTTGGTATTGATTGTCATTTTCTTCTAAATTCAAATAAAACTCTGCCACATTTCATTCACCTCACAGAGCTGACCTCGACTTTCTTTTCGCGGAAATAAAGGACAGCCAAGTCATTTCAAAATGCCTTTTTTTATGCAGTAAATAAAACCGCTAGACATCTCTATCAAAGTGCTACAGAGCGCAAAAATAACTATTATTATTGCCATTTGTTTCCATTATTTGTACTGATGATTCTCTGTCAATGATTTCACAGCAGAAATTCTGAAACAACAGAGAACAGCGGCCTCTGCTGGTTAACAATCCGATTGACGTCTGCAGAATGAACGACAGAGGAACATGCGCAAACTAAAATGACAACGTATTTAAGAGTACGGCTAGCTCACGGTTCACAATTTTAAAGATTTATTGGTATGCAGAAGCAGGGGATACAAACGATTAGATTGTGATTGTAATTTTTTCAATCAATAATGCATCTGGTCAAAGCCTATTTGGAAAAAAACAAACAAACAAAAAAAAATTGTTAAATCTTCTCACACACGCACGCACACCTTTTATGTCTACATGTCATAAATACAATCAATCTGATATACAAATATTTGGATAGATTCATTTTCTGCAATATTTAAAATTCCTCTTGAATTCTGGTTCCTGTTAGTTCAACAAACTTCCCTCCGTTTGAAGCCGTCAGCTCAGAACTTTGAGATAACTGTGGCCAAAAAAAGAAACACCCTCTGAGATCTTTGAAGGCGAACAAGTAAGTGGGGGTGGGGGGGGGGGGGGAGGGGTAAATAAATACCTGAAGGAAGCAGCGATCAATCCCTGCATACTTCTCTTTCTTAAATCATCCAACATGCTTCAAACAGCAAGACCAAACAAGCAAATCATCACACAAGTTGCCACCTCTAGCATGAAGGCTGCTTATAGAAATCTCCAGTATGAAATTAAAAAGATGCCTTCATGTATCCTTCACATATCCGCCCAGACATCTAGAGCACAACGGGACGCTGGGTGATCAGTGTTTTTATCTGGCAGCTTTAGTGGAGCAAGACATGGACACAAATTATGCCGACATGAATACACAGTTTGTTTGTGTGTGTGTGTGAATGTACCCATGATGCGAATCGTTTTTCGACCCCCTGTTTGGTTTCAGGAATAAGCCCTTCAAGGAAACGCTGTGCTTGTTACAAACACACACCAGCGACACCTACTGGGCTGATGAAGGTATAAGGGAAAAAAAAAAAAAAAAAAAAAAAAAAAAAAGGGGTTAAGCTGTTTGGATGAAAACCCGCATGATGGGATCAAGCTTTTCAAATGAAGGCCAAAGGAGGAGTTCTTAAGACATAGAGCAGAATGTCCATGTGCTTCGTTTACTTCCAGGTAGAATCTCATTTTTGTCCATTTAGTCTATTAATTTCATTTCTCCATTGAGGGGGATGTTTACTTGTACACTGGGTACTGGCGCTGGCCCAACCGGCTAGATCGCTGTCCCCCTCCCGATGGTGCACTTGTCTGGGAAAGAGACAGAAGACATTCAGATGGGACATCATGTGAACAAACGGGGGGAAAAAAAACAAAAAAAAACAACAACATGGCAGACAGACCAAATAAAAGATGCTGCTTTAAAAACCACACCTGTGAAAACTGCGTAGGGTTATAAAAAGTGACGCCTCCTGCGGGTGCAGTCCCCTGGTTGGGATGACTCTGTCCAGGAAAAAGCAGAGGTACTTTGGTACTTCGATGTTGACACATTGATTCACAACAAATTGCCAGGGGGGAAAGTGGAAAGACGATGCAGACTGGATCCACGGTGAGGCACCATCACAAACCACTGTTAATGCGTATTTCAGTAGCCATGCAAACTAGATGCTAGGGTTAGAGCAACTCTCCTAGGACAACTTTAAACGTTACATTTAAACCACTGCATCAATCTCCAGCATCACTGACTCTGATCATTTAATGGACTTTTTTTTTTCTTTCAAGCAAACTGAGGATATTGAATAGGGTCCCGCTAACATTGTGTAGTGAGCACGTTGGCTTAAAAAGTATTCCCACCGTTTGCATTTTATTTTTCGCAATACAACGTCAAACTTTGATGTATTTTAGTAGGGGTTTTTGTGTGATAAATTAAAAAAGTAGTGAATGTCAGTGAAACAGAGGGAATTCTGAGGAAGTTCTTCAACATTTACTGAATCTTGGTATGAATTCAGTTGTTCTATGAAGGAATCACAGACAACATGAGTGAAGAAACAGCACCGAGAAGCTCAAACAGGTCAGGAAGTTTAAAGTTTCATCAATGTATAAGACAATACAGCACAGTTTCATTTATCTTATAGCTGTATAGCAGAGTTTAATGAGGATGGACAGAGGTAAATAAAGGAAGATGCTGCAAGTGAAGCTGTTTTGGGCTACAAAAGTCTCGAGTCTGAACAGAACAGTAATCTGAAACATCCAGTCAAAGAGAAAGTATATTTACACGTGACAATTTACATCGAAGAGACAAAGACGTGAGACTTGAAAGTTACTGCTCACAGATGCTCTCTGTCAATCTGACTAAGCTGGAGCTATGTCGCTAAGAAGAATAAAAAAAAAATAAAATAAAATCACTCTATATGTGCAAAACTGGAAAACAACAACAGCAGCAAACAACTTCTAGCTGCAACTGCAGTGAAGGGTGTTTCTACAAAGTTTTTCCTGAGGAGAGATGAAAGGAGATGCACACAGCGCTTTTCAGATTTGTTATTTATAGCTTATTCTGATACATTTTACTTTTCTTCCGCATCACATTTACTATTTTTTCCTATTACACATAACCCATAAGATACAATTGGACAGGTTTGACGTTGTAATGTGGGAATACGAAAATATATACGTGTTTCAGCCCCACTACAGCTGTCAGAACATTTTTTTGACCCCATAAGAATGTGCTGTGAATCAAATTTCATAGCAGCTGCCAGCTACTATTGCAATAACTTTCTTCCTTTAGCGTTGTGCTTTCTTAAATAGACACAGAGCGGAGGTGGTAATGCTGGAGACAGCAGGCGGTAACAAACAGGCAGACGTTCTGGGGCTGATGCTCAGCAAAGCGTTGGATGTAAATGGTGAAGTTTTAACGATGAGATGCTACAGAACAGAAACGGGAAGATGCTGGCAGGGCATTGTTTAAGTACAGACTAGAAGTACCTGGTTTAAATGCTGACTCACTTCGCGTGATAAAGAACTCATTGAGCTAGAACGTGACAGCTAAAGAAAACAAGTAGGAAGGGAACAAAAAGAGGAAAAAAAAAATCCCATCACCCCGTATTAATCATCTTTCATGCACTTGATTAGATCAATTTCCACAATCAAGTTAAAACTAAGTAAACGAGCATTAAACAACTGTAGTTCTTAGAAACCAACACCACATTGATGGAATTATATTACAGACACATGGAATAGAAATTATAGTAATTAACCAGGCATTCAGAGCATGAGAAAGATGAGAGTTAAGGCTGGTGTGCATGCATCCTCGAGTCTTCTCTTACAAGAACTTAAAAAAAGCAAACTATGCAGACAGGCCTTATGTCATTGTGCCATAAAGCAAAAAGTCCATTACATGGACGGATGGATCTTACCTCTCCTGACTGTGACCCATCTGGAACAGGAGGACCTTCTGGGGCTGGTGGTAACAGCGTGGGGTTGAACACCTGAGCCGGTCAACAGATTCAGGATGAGTAAAACTGCAACTCTGAACCTTAAAACTTGGATTTCCATCGTGACATTTTGAAGGATTTCAAGTTTTACTGCAGTCTAAATAACTATTGAGATAAGATAGTGAAATATTTACATTAATAAAGTATAATTCCAGGTGGCTATGCACATTTTAATGTTACAACTCCATACTTTTCCAGAAAACTTATTCCATTTTTTCATCTACTTTTAAAGTACAAATACAATAGTTCACTTTCTGATACACAGCAGATATTCCAAAGTACGTTAGGCCTTAAACACTGAAATAGACACACACAAAAAAAAAAAAAAAAAAAAATTGGTTGACTCCCTGATGAGAATAATGTCTAGAAATACAAAAGTTTCCCCCTACTCCATCCTGATCCAGACATGGAAAATAATTTAAATTTTCATCCACTCCCAGACTGCATATGAACGCAGGATGTTGTGCAAATGTTTAAAAACCAAAGGAACCTGTGGGGCAGCGCCGCTGCTTGGTGAATTCTGCTCTTGATTTCCACCTTCACTGCCTTCCAGAGGCTGCTGGTCACTGGGAGCTTCACATAAAGAGAGAAACAGAAAATATTTCATTTTGCTTTTAGGTATTTAGTTTTATTAGCTTTTTTCAGCTTATCAACAAAATACTGAGAAGAAAAGATTCTTAAGTTTCACTGTGGTCTTGAATTTGGGCAAAAGAAAAAAAGCTTGAAGGAGCGACATCTCATCTGTCATCTAGTTACATTTGAAGAATTTTGAACTCTTCAAATAAAAGTTAAGCTACAATGTTAAAAAACAGCAAAAAAAAGTTTTTACTTATGTTAAAGTCTGAGATGTTTTTAAATGTTCTTGGTTCGCTCATTGTACTTTCATGACACACACCTGAGCTAGGCACAAACAGGTTGGCAGGCATGGGCATGGGGGCCAAAGGAGCAAACAGGTCCACAGGAGCCGGGGCCACTCCGCTCGGCTTAGCTGTTCCGGTCGGGTTCAGAACGTCCACATATCTGCTCCTAGTGCCTGAGAAGACACAAACAGTCAAACAAATTGCAACTAAGGATTTAAAAGATACATGGTATCCATAAATATCTGCCATGAAAAGTATGAGGCTGAGTCAAATTTCCACTCTCTACTGTGCATCTTACCTGCTTTTCTGGAAAACATGTTGACGGTAGACCCAGCACCTGGAGGAGCAGTGGGCCCCCCAGGACCAGGCATCTGAGGCATCTTGGGAAAACCGGTTGGAGGTGGAGGAGGAGGCTTACTCTAACAATAAAAACAAAGCCATCAAAAAAAAAAAAAAGGCTTGTTTAAGATTTGTATTTTTAAAATATCCATTTGTTAACCACTGACCTCTTCTTCAGGCTCATTCAGGTCAACCCATCTATTTTTCTTTTCATCCCAAACAATCTGGCAACAATAAACACATGAACCCACAGATTGGTAAAGAACAGTTCTAGAGTTAAGGTGGGAGGAAATAAAATAAGCACATATAACTTACAGAAGGATTTTTATCATCTGGCAAGTGAGCCTCATTTTTCCTCTTCCCAAAGGGCCAAAATGACCAGCCTTTACTCTGTTTGCATGGAAAGGAAGCGCTGTGTTAAGCAATGTAGTAGCGCAGTCTGCAGCTTTTGAAATTGTGTGAAAGTGAACCTTTTCTGGAGAATCCTTCTTGGCTTTCCTGGCCTCCTCTTTGCGTGGCTGTTCGGGAATCGAGGGCGGAGGTGGAGAGGCCTGTTTTACAGCAGAGTTGCTCCGCTCTCTTCCACCGGAGTGAGTGGAGGATTCAGAGGCCCTGCGAGAGCTGCGTCCAGATGGCTGGAAAACAAGATATTCTGATAAGAACACGCTTTGATACACTCTGGCTTTTACATAACAAATGAAGTATTTAGTAGATAAATCACTTCACCACACAATAGTGAAACCAGGTAATTTTAGTGAGTAATAATCATCTCAGTGGAATTTAATATGTTTCGAGATATTAAGCTCTGGTGTTAAATGTCAATGTTATTTCTATATTCAGTTTCCTCAGCCAGGATACACCAACGTACCAAATGCATTGAAGATTGTGAAGTTGTTCGTGATCTCCTAGGACCCTGTGGAACCAAGCAGACAACAAGTTAAGCATTTCCTCTTGTATTAGTGGTTTCCAACATTTTTGCCACATAGACCAAAATCAAGTTTGTGATCCAGAAATTCAATATATATTTTTATCGAAAAGAGAAGATAATTGTATACTGAAACTTGTCATTTTCAATTCAGTTTATTAATTTATTCGGCACCGATTCACAACAAATGACATCTAGAGACACTTTGCAAAACGTAATTTCAAACCAATCATATATACATTCACTCTGATCTTAATAGTAAAATAAGCTCAGTTAATTATTCAACGTAGCTTAAAAAGTTTCTAACTAAGGAAACCCAGAAGACTGCATCGAATCATTGACTAATTTAGGGAGCTGGTATTTCAATAAAATGAACAAAGTATGACTTTTGTAAGGAAAGGATCTGTAAATTATTGTAGATTTGAAACATAAAAAGGGCTTTGCATGTTTGCCTTATTAAAAAAATTAAAACGGAAAAAAGATCCCTAAATTGTCTAAAATGAATTCTTTTTTGTTTCAAATTTCCTTTTTGGGGAAAAAAAAAAAAAAAAAAAAAAAACACCAGCTGTACTGAGCCATGTTCGGTAAATGTTTCAACCCCAGTTTTCCTGTGCTGGTGTGTAAAGATTGAGCCATCTGTGAATGGGGTCAGATCTTGGACAACCCTGTCTCATATAAAAAAAATAAATAAAAAAAAACTTATTTTAGGTTGTTTTAGAAGAGCAGGCTGGTAAATACTGACCATGATAGCCATGTGGTCATACAAGTCCATCTGAGGTGTGAAGGAGCTTCTGGGTGGGGAGGACGATATTGGATGTGTGGGATGCATCTCCGGGTTGGGTGGGAGGGGCTGATCCATGGGGGCCATATGTCCAGGAGAGGGAGGCATGTGCTGGGGCATCTGAAAAGGTGGGTGAGTCATTTGAACAGGTGAATGTGGCACCTGTGAGGGAAGCATGTGAGGCGACATTTGGCCCTCTTGTGGTGGGGGCACAAAATGCTGGTGTGCCCCGGGATAGGCCTGCTCATGTTGAGGGTGGAAGTGGGGGTGGGCGACACCACCAGGATCCTGTGGAGGGAATCCAGGCATGGGGATTTGGCCTGGTGGTCCACTGGGGGGCACGGGGTAGAACTGGGGCACATCGCTTGAGGGTGGGAGCTGAGCTGGAGCCGCCCCCTCGTGGAGAATGGAGGAGGGAGCTGGAAGGAAGTGAAAGAGATTCAATCCATCTGCCAGCACGAAGAGCTAATCACACACAGAGCAAAAGTTTGAACACATTCACACACACCTGGAGGCATCAACTGCACCGCCAGCGGTTGAGGCCCAGGCATCAATGAGCTCATGAGCTGGTTATCGGGGGCCTGGCCGTCCACTTCCAGAGGCAAGCTGTAAGGCTCATGTGGACTCTGGGGCTCCAAGTCTGAACTTTCGCTGATGCAGTCAAACTGTGCAGGAGTACTTCTGTCCCTGTTGTATGTAATCACACCAGTCTTACAAAAGGAGAGAGAGAAGAAATCATCAAATATGTTAATTGTTTAAAAATCACATGGTTTGTTTAAGTCAATCTAAATCTGCTGAACTTCTGAAAAATAAAACCTTATATCGAATTTTTTGAAGAAATTTATCATTACATAGCTCCCTGTTGGAACTAGCAAGAAATGTCTGGAATTATATTATGCCACAAGGTGACGTAGAACCGTTGCTCTTCCTCACCCTGATCTGTCCATCCAGCTGTTTGAGGCGGATCAGCCACTCAGGCTCAATGAACAGCTCCTGCTCAGGTCTTTCCTTTAGTTGCGGATCAAAGAACCGCAACTTTTCTGACATCTTTAAGCAAAGAGAAAGTAAATAAATAAATCACATGTGTCAAAGAGTAAAATATAAAAAGATATGGAAAGCAAGGAACAACTACAAACCTGTATGATCTGGCTGATGAGCACAGGGGAGTAGTAGGAGGCATGCATGAGGACCGTCTTTGCGATAACTTCACAGTAATGAAAAGCTTGGGCAGACAGGCCTGATTCAGCCAGTCGGCATGCATAGATTAATTTGAACACCTGATGGAGGACAGAAAGAGAGAGAATATAGTCTTCAGATATTTTATTTACAATGTAATCATGAATGTAAAAACGTATGAGATACACTGAACAGGCTTCTAAAAATAAACACCCACCTGGAAGTTGGGCAGTGAACAAGGCTGGGAGCCCAGGGACTGAGCGTACTCATAGGCCTCCGTCCTCTGGATTGCTTCATTGGTGGCAAACTGATTAAAGGCCAAACTGAAGGCAAGAGACAGTGTTAAATGTCTGGCTTGTTTTCAGTTTATGTCAAAAGGCTTGGCTGTTTTGGGCTAACCTGTGGTTGGATCCAATCAACACCAACTTGGTGCTCTTCTTGGTGTAAACCCCCAGGCCAACTTGGGCCATCAGGTAGCAGAAGTGAGCAGCGTCAGTCAGCCCTTTAGAAGCTTTGCCAAAGCAGGAAAAAAAATGGTCAAAAATGTTAGGAATGAAGCTACCAGCTGCTATTAATGTCAATACAGTTTAAACAACTCCCACTGGATAGAGGCTTAATAAAATAATCGTACCCAGAGTGTCACCCATAGTGGTGATAGTGCGAGTGTCCAAGTCCATGTTGTGTGTTAGGTTTGAGAGGACCATGGCCAGATGGGGGCGCCAGTCACCCCACTTCTCCTCTCCACAGCACTGCATATGTGGGGAAAAAAGAAACTTTCCATTTAGATAGCTGGAAAATCAGTGTCAACAGCTTCTTCAGCGCACCAGTTTAAAAACAGGCCGTAAGGACGAACCGTAGCTGAAGCAGGCATTCTCCCTGACATCAGCTGGTACATTGTTTGGAGAGGGTCATTCATGGGCAAACTATTGGCAAACCTGAAGACGAAAACAACATTTTAATGATTTCAATGACATTTTAAAACCATAATTATAGGTTCAGAAACTTCAACTTCCGCTACTTCACCTTGTCATGACACGTGCATGTGTCCTGTTGTCCATCTTACTAGCCAACAGCAGGGCGTGACCCCAGAGACCTCCTTTCATGGCTGCTTCAAGTGCATCCTTTTTTCACCATACAAAGAATAAAATGTGTCGGATCTGCTCGGCTTAAAATATTTACGTCATTTTGCTAATCACTGCATTTCCTACCTTTTTGCGCCCAAACAGAAGCAGCTCTCTGAAGCGCTCCGTTTCCTTGCCAACGTTCTCCGGGACGATCATGAAAGTGTCGGACAGGAGGGACAGCGGTCCAGCTCCAGGCTCCTCTTCCGCTCGTGCAAGAGGTTCATTGTTGAAATCAATCAAGTTGGCTTCGTTGGGACTCTTGCCAGGCAGCCAGACAGAGCGATGCTCCTTCAGCAGGAGGTCAGCGATGTCTGTGCCGACCACAGTCTGAGGAAATGGAAAACAACAATAAGACCAAATTTTAATCAAATAATAATTGTTCTGGTAGATTTACAGCTGCAGACAACACAGACTCACCCCATTCTGTCTGCAAAGCAGCACAATGAAGTCCCAGAGCAGGCGGGCAGAGTCTCTGTCCAGCAAGTTGTTGTCACGGGAACACTCCATTGCTTTGTTTTGAGAGAATTTTATCACATCAACCTTGTGGGTCTCTTCCCTGTAGGCAGGACAGAAAAAGTTAGGATATATGTTTCATTACAAAAACCTAACCTGCAGCAAAAAAGTTGAATTTTCAATGTTGTTTGAATGCAACATTCTGCTTTTTTGTTACACTACTTTGCACTGAAAAACTGAAGTCTGGTTCTTTAAGGAGTTTACTTTCACCAAGATTCTGTGAAGTATTTGAGATGTAGAAAACTAGAAAAATGCACTTACTTAATCAGAGGTCCAGGGAAACCTCGCAGCTCAGCCTGATCTGTGGTGTCCTGCAGCATCGTCTAAAAGGAGAAGTAGAAGATAAAATAATACATAACATATTCTTTACATTATTTTCTGCTCACAATAGTCTAAAATGTTTGTATCTCCAAAAAGGAGATAGAAACTAATTTTACAACCTATGATCCATAAATTAAGGAATGCCTACTTTATGATTAATGCATAATGATATAATGTAACTTAATGTGTGCTGAAATTTAAACCTTAAAAGCTCTGTACAAAACAATAAATAAAAGCTTTTTACAATTTTTTTACAGTAAATGTACCTCCATGTTGTGGATCTCAACCAGAGCAGGCTGCCCAGCTGAGGGGAGATTGGGCAGGACTTGGATCAGATGACCCCCAGGTCCAAAGCGAGCACAACGATGGGGCATGGTAAACTTTTCTGGGGTTGCAGGACGAGGGGGAGCTGAAAGGGAAACAATGGCTACCGTGTAATTAAGTGAGATATAATAAAGATAAAAACGCTTTAAAAAATATATATTCTCCAAAAACTGAGTTTTGTAAGATTACGTTGCTCTGGTGCAATCCAGGTACTGTCTGTAGTGTACTCTGAGGGATACATGTACTGGCTGTAGTTCTGAGTAGCGTCTGTTTGATTTGGATACTGGCCATAAGAGTAGTCAACAGGGAGAGTGGATTGCGTTGTGTCATAAACTGCAGACACCAAGTCAGGCTGGCTCCTGTACACCTGGCTCTGCAATTGAAGTGGACAAATAAAAAAAGAGTTGAGAACAAGGTGGCAGAAGATCCAGGTCCCATAAATTGAAACAAACAAAATAAAACTAAGCAGCTTTTTTTTTATTGCCTATGAAATAAAAAGCAGCCATGACAGTTCACCTGCTGCGACCGTGAGCTGAAGCTGCTTTGTCTGCTGTGATGACTGGTGGAGCTGTGCACGCTGTGTGCCGACTGCTCGCTGTGCACGCTGTGCCTGTCAAAGTCGTCGCCGTAAGCATCTCTCCCGCGCACGTTGTCGTCATCAAAACTGCGATCATATCCAGGATAGTAAATCCATTGGGCGTCGTAGACATCTTTCCTGTAAGAGAGCCCATAAAACACTCAGCAGGAGTAAACTGATAGGACTCATGCATAGCTACGCTGCTTTACATCTTTTTGTCTTCATTGTACTTTTTACTAAAATGCAGTTTTAATAACGCATACCCGGGCTGATTATAGTAGCCGTTTCTGTACGTCTCATTGTAATAAGACCAATAGGACTGATCATAGTATCCTCTGTATCGTTGGTCGTAATTTCCGTAGTTGTATCCTTTTAAAACAAAAAACGGAGAAAAAAAAAAGAAGATAATTGACAAATACATGGCATTTTTTCTTTCATAAATCACTGTCGAATTGACATTGTATTAGCAAATATGTGTAGCTCATACCTCTATAATCATAGCGCTTGGGGTAATCTGCATAATATTCACCGTAGGCACTTCGGTTTTGCCGTTGGTAATCTTCGGAATAACCTTGCCTGAAGGACAACACAAGGTGATATTTCACAGGACCAATACATCACATGAAATTGAAACATGCACAAAGTGTCATTTCAACATGGAAAACCAAACATGATGCTGCAATTAGCAGCCTTTTGTGTGTGCTGACTAAACACCGACAATAAATGATTTCAAAGAAAGGATGCAAAACAAATAATCAATGCAGTTTCTATTTTTGCATTAAAAATGCATAAAAGACCACCCGGAAATGGAATGTTTGTCGTTTCATATTTGCAGTTATTAAAATACACACTTTGGATGGCAATAAGATATTGAGGCTGTTGGATGGAGTCTCACTTCAGCAAATTAACACACTTGACAGTGTGTTATAGTAACATTAATTTTTAACTTCAATTTCCTAAAAATGTGCAGACTTTATTAAGTATTTATTCATTGGAGTCAAAGGTAAAGTGGAGAGCAGATTGTTGCTTACATGGATTACAGCTTCAAATATGATCTGACTGAATAGACTGCAAATATAGAAATATTTGCACATTTCTTACTTTTTAAATTATTTTTATAAATTATAGTCATTCATTTGTTTTTCTAAAAGATTTTTTACATCAACATTTACATTAATTTGTCAGTTGTTCAGTTGCAGGAAAACAAAAATCATAAGCATTGTATTATCGAAAATATCATTTAAGAATAATTGATATTACTGTGCGACTTATGTGATTAATTGATTAAATGCATTGCGACAGGCTTAATGATGGTACACCATTCTACCTCAGAAAAACAAAGTAGTGACATTTTTTTCCAACAATTCTGACTTTTAACTATTGAATTGAAGAAGATTGTGAAGGTTAGATGCTGAAGCAAGACTGACTGCTTCACTAACCTGGATGAAGGCCGGTCTGAGTACTGACTAGCTCTCGAGTTGGGTCGCTCCGACTGCGGTTCTCTGTATTGGTAGTTTGGATCATGGTAACCCGGGTTCTGCCCATCATATCTGCCATACCAAGGATCTCCTCTGCCTCGGTAGTTTGCATCCTAACAGGAAAGCATTAAAAAACGGATTAATAAAGAGGGACACACAACAGTTGCTCATTCATGATGGTCAAAAATCGTCTCAACCCTTACTTGATAATACTGCTGCATTCTAGGATCTCCAGGTGGAGGTGGATACTGGCCTGGAGGATACTGTCCTCTGCTATCTGGGTATTCCCCATAGTTTCCATAGTAGCTGCTGTACATCTGTCCAGATCCAGGAGGAGGAGGATGCACATAGTCTTGATGGCTGCCTGCAGAGGAGGGTGGTCGGGGAGCTACAGCTGGAACTGCTTGGGGATCCCTTGGAGGTACGGCCCCCTGCGTGCCTGGGGGGCACACCCCAGGAGCGGCAGGAGGAGGAGCATTCCCTCCAGCAGGTCCTTGTGCCGGAGTTGAATACTGACCGTGAGAAGGCTGGGCTCCACTGACAGGAACAGCAGGAACATCCCTCTGTCCCTGCAATGCAACTTGAGAATTGGATGTCTTAGGAGGTTCACTTTGAGTCTGCTGAGTGTTTGGAGCAGCTGGAGGTGGTCCTGGTGGAGCTTGTGAGGTGGATGTAGAAACTGATGTCTGGATAGAGAGAGTCCCTCCATCTCTTACTCCCTGCTGAGCATCCTTGGTGACCTGCAGGTAAAATCCATTACTAGACTGTGACGACTCATGCAAAGACAACGGCTGGCCGTATGCCTGGCTCTGGCTGTGTGATTGGTGCATAGAAAAATCAAGCAGTTCGTAGTTTAATGTCTGATTATGGTTAGAGACAGAAGCAGTCACGAGAGAAACGGGCTGTGAATTAACAGTAGAATGGCTTTCTGCCCCCAATGATTGGCCCCTTGAAAGAGGAGGGTGGACAGGTTGAGAGAGTGGTGGAGTTGTGATTTCTGAAGTTGCTCCAACTGTTTTGTCGCGAGTCAGATTGAGCGGACCCTGATTAGGAGCGGAGGAACAGAAAGCCGCGGACCCAGAAGAAAAGAGCGGATTTTGCTTAGAAGGTAGGGCTGATGGTTGAGAGATACTGGCACCAAGCCCTTGTGCGGGAGGTCTTTCGGGGGACACAACTTCTCCATGATTAGTCTGAGTGGATGACGGAGTAGGAATGCTGGGGGGAATCACGCTGTAATTGGATACAGGAGGGGCAATTAAAACGGGCTGATGAAGTGAGCTAGACACGAGCAGAGATGCGTAACCCAGGCCGCTTTGAGAGTCAACTGGCTCCGCATCACTCACCTTTGGAGGGTTTTCTAGGTTCTCTGAATGCTGCTGAGAAGCTGTCTGAGCTCTCTGCGAGGCCTGCAGGTCCAGCGGACAATCCTCTGGTGGCTGAATGACGTCAGCACTGGGTTCTCTTAATGGGGCCAAAACTGTGAGGGCCGCAGGGGCAAGGAGGATGTTGGTACCCAAGCTCGTAGGGTCGCTCTGAGCCCACAGAGTAGTGGCCGGACTCTCGCAGGGCCGATTGGCCCCAAAAGCACGAGATGAAGGTCGAGAATGAGGATGTACCACCGAGTGTGTTTGACTGGATAATCCATCGCCGGGAACAGAAGATGGAGCTTGTCCAGGCCCAAAAATATTCTCCATATTGTCTGGCGGCTGCTCCAAGTTACCAGATGTGGAATCAGAACCTCCTTCAGCAACCATTTTAGCCCTGTCAACTTCAGCAGGACGCACTCCAACACTATGTGAACGTACGGGTTCAAACGAGCTGTTAGCGCTTGCTTGGAAAATCCCAGTTGGTTTTGGTGGGCTAGGCGTGGGGTGCCACATATGCTCTACTGTACCTTGCACAACTACATCACCACTTGGAGATGTATCTATCTGCTCAAAGTAGCCTCCGGCAGCAGCAGCGGCGGCGGAAGCAGCAGCAGAAGAGGCATTAAGATTATCGGCAAGACGAGGGCTTTCCTGCTGAATAAAGGTACCTTCGACTCCCTGGTGCCGACGGGAGCCGGTTCCACTTCCATGGCTCAAATTGCTGTAGTTGGATGACACACTCGCAGATCTCATTGGTCTTGGGATTGAATCTGGAGTTTCCAGGTTGGGTCCCGTTTCAAACTGGTCAACTGGGTTACATGCAGCAATAGCAGCAGCAGCACTGCTGCTGGATTCGTTGGGTAAAACTTCCTGGTTTGGAACACACTCCAAATTTTCCACGTGGTCAAAGTCATTATCCGGGAGCTTCTGGATGTGCCCCTGTAAAGGATGACTGCTTTCATTCATATAGGGAAGGCGTGAATGATCGGGAACAGACACTCCTTGGTAATCTACGGTCAGATCTGAATGACTACTATGAGATGGTGGGTTGCTGTTATGCTGAAAAGATGCAGCAACACCATTTAATGTTTTATTCCTCTCATCAGCAAGCGTTTCCTCGTTTTCCACATCACTCCCTTTGAAGAACATCGAGATTGTACCAGACTCTTGACCGTATGCATCTGTGGCAGGAACAGAACTTGGAACAGGTTGACTGACAGGACCATGCCCCGTACTGGAAACATGAGGAGATCCAGCAGACTCTGTAGGTGGCTGAGGATGGCTCGAGCTGGTACCCATTTGGTGGTAGCCGGAGTCCTGCACTGGTTGGTTGAACCACAAGTCATGGGGCGCAGAGCTCTGACTGAAATAACTCTGGGTTTGGAAATGTGAGTTGAGGTGCTGGGGTCCATTTGGGTCAGGCAACAAAGAGCTGGCAGCTGCTACAGGGTTCTGAAGAGGAGCAGGGGGGTGAATTTGGGGATGTCCAGAGTAAGCTGGAGGGGTGGGGGCATTGTGGTGGGGTGACTGGCTGTGGGAGGGGTACATCTGGGTCTGTGGTGGTATATTTGAGGGCCGTGCTGGTGGATCAACAGTTGGTTGGAAATAGTTTTGAACTGAGGGAGGCCGGCTTGAGTGATCAGGAGCCCACTGAGTAGATGAAGATGACGGTGGAAGGGGTTGAAAAGGCAAAGGATGGCCAAGATGTTGTGCCTGAAAATCCTGGTTAAAAAGTGTATTACTAGGTGCTGGTGACATATGTGATGAATCTGTGGACATACTTGCAGTTGGATCTCTTGAATTAAAATAGTCCTGTTCACTATTAGCTGATGCATATCCTGTGGGACTTGGAGATGGGAAAACACCAGCAGATGGAGTACCCTGAGGGGTGAATAAAGTTACCCCTGACAGAGGTTGTGCTAGGGGACCAGCCACTGCAGCTGGAACATTTTCAAGCAACTGCGGTTGTGGAGGGAGTCCAGAACCAAGCTGAGAATACATGGCATTAGGTGGAGTTTGCATTTGTGGTGGGCTGCTGTTAGGTATTGTAGGAAGACCACCTGCAGCCATTGGGGGTTGAGCTCTGCCAAAAGCAAAAGGGTCCGTTATGGGCTGTGTAGGAGGCGGCATAGTAGCTGTCACTGCTGTCGCATGCTTCTGAGGCCTTATCCTGCCTGTCATATTAGGCATAGAGGCCCGGGGTGGTCCAGCCCGAGGAGGTCCAGCCCGGGGGGTTGGTTGCATGTCTGCACAGCAAGTCCAATGACCAGGTCACTCTGAAAGATGTCACTGAAGAGACTGAAGTCAGACGTAGCTGTAAGAAGTAAAGGAAAGAGTTAAGGGTTAATAAAAGCAGCACATGTTTCTTTGAAGGGACATTACCACACCTTTATTTGTGTAAAAAGTACAACGTGGCAGCTTCTACATCAGAAAGTGTTTCAGCTACATACACGTCCTCTCTGCATCGCCCCTTTAACTTATCTCATGCATGTTAAGGAAAAGCATACTTAAATATCCTGCTATGCACAAAAACAGTGATTTTAAGAGAAGGAAGTTTTCACTTTTCCTTGATATATTAAAATTTAAACATACTTCAAAGAAATCTTGTAGAAATATGAAAAATCACATCTTTTAGCTTCAGTAAATGAATTACGCCACCATAGCAAAACACATAAACACTGACCACGTCACATTGTTAGGTAAAATCTGCATCTTAACCAAGACTGATTCATCTAAAAGAAAAGTACAATGATTTTAAGTACTGCATAGGGATGAACAGCAATATTGTTTTTAATATGAATCCATTAAATTGGAATTAGCTCAGCATATCACCAGATAAACAAAGCTAAAGAAATCACTGACTCAAAAAGCAGACAAGTAATTAGACAACAAAGTTCCCTTAGATTAATAAATCTATGTGATCTTACAATAATACATGCAATGAACTTTGACTTCGTTTAAATCCTATCATTTGTTATTGTGCATCTGTCACATGGAAGCTAAGAAGATCTACGTGAATACGCTAAGCTAGAGAGGAGGATCAATAACAGCCACATCTCACAAGGAAGGTAAGTAGGTTCAGTCAGTCGGAAGAGCGATCCTAGATTTTTCAGATGATCAGGTTACAAATTTATAAAGAACAACCAGGTAGGCTAGCGATAGCTATGTTAAAACTCGAAGTTCCAAAAAGTCCAAAAGTTAGCTGCAAACTTGCAACTTGTCACCGATAGCTGGAATTAGCTATTACATAACCGAGGCTAGCTCTCTTTGGTCAGGCTCGACATGAAGTTACCGTTACACATTAAGCTGCCTTAGAGGAAGGGTCCAGAGAGTGCTCTGGCTCAACAGCTAACAGAAACGCTACATGTCCACAGCGGCACACAGCAAAAATACCAACATTATACATTAGCTTATATGGGGCAACGTCGAGCAAGAAGACGGACATCGTGCTGTTGTCGTACCAACTCTTCCGTGACAGGAAAACACACGGCTAAGTTACGAGTCCCTAGACAATCCTAGGGTGATTTAACAGGTTCACTGCCTGGACAGCTAGCCTTAGCATCGCTGCTTAGTTAGCACCGCCAGCTAACTAGCCTATGCTAACTAAAGGGTAACAGTGTAATTCCACTTAGGGACACGACATTAAAACCATTGTAGTACAACTTTGTTAACTGCGCTAAACGACTAATATTACACAATGTCAAAAACATTCATATATAAAAGTACGTTCTTACAAATATGCAGGACTGTAAGTCTCACACAACGCCACCATCTTCAATGAACACATCCTACTAGGCTACGTGTACAAGCTCCGTCACGGCCCAAACAACAATTACGTCCAAACGGGGCGGAGCTTGTTAGACTCCTGCGCGAATGAGCAAAAAGGAATACTCATTTATAAATGAATTATACTGAGTTATACATGTCAGTGTGTTTAAATGATTTACTACAAATTAAGTCTTTCAGAGACGTATGTATTAATGTATTTATTTTTCATACCGTCGTGATTATCAATATGTTATCAATAATGAGGAAGAAACTGCTAACAGGGCAGTTATCCAGTCAGTAACCCCTCTCACAAGCAAGTTCATTATGAAAGAAACTATGAGTGTTGTCTCCAAACATAGTAATAGAAAGTTAGGTGGAAGGGAAAAGTATGGTAGAAAAGGATGAACAGCCTTGGCGGGGGAGGGGGAGGAGGATTATGAAGCAAAAACTATGTCAACATTTTGGGGAGACAAGACTTGATTTGCAGCTAAAGTCAGGACGTTAAGGGCTACCACACACATATCCATGACATGGGCTACAGCTGTCAGGTTCCTTCTCTGAAGTCAATCCTGAACCAGCAGCAATGTGAGAAGTGTCTTTCTTGCTTGGGCTGAGGAGAAAATTATGTAAACTGCTTATCAGTGGTGCAAACTCCTCATCTAAGGTTAAAGTAAGTTTTGCATTTTATTTGGAAATCAAAGTTCCACAGTCTTGAGGACAAATGAGGCGGTACAGCTTGATATTGCCGAAAGTTTTCAATGACATTGATGATTTGGGAAGCCATGTCATCAGATCGTGTTTCATCAGGCCCAAAACTGGCTATGTTATATACATGGAAGCTTTAGAGCACTTTACACTTCCCTCTGCTGGAGCTTTATAGTCAAAAGTGCTAATACATGGGTCAATGTGTGATATAATTGATATAATTTAAACAAACTCACTTGACCAGAACCCAAGAGAGAATCTATACAGGTTTTTAAAGGTGAATATGAGGGATACTAGACCTTTCTGTGAATAGCCAAAGGCCACCATTAAAAACCGGGGTTTCAGCATTTCAACAGGCTGATCATCTCCATGCAAAATTGTACTGATACCATTTCAGTTGTTGAGTACTATATACAGTACATGGGCACACTTTCACATTTGTGCAATAAACATATCTTTTATATTGATGTTAACCTTCCAGACCCCTCAGGTCTTCTGGTTCTGGTCTGCTCTGCATCCCCAGAACCAGAACCAAAGGAGAAGCAGCATTCAGCTTCTGTGCACCACAAATCTGGAACAAACTTCCAGAAAACTGTAAAACAACTTAAACACTGACTTCCTTAAAATCTCGACTAAAAACCCACCTGTTTAGAGTTGTATTTGAAACGTAATCAATTACGAATTTAACAATGGCACTTGACTTATTGTAATGTTTTGATTGTTGATTCTATGTTGCATGACTTTGTGTTTTTGTGTTTGTTATGACGGAAAGCACTTTGAAACATTCACATTAGCACATTTTACATTGCTGCTAAAATGTGCTATGCAAATAAAATTTGATTTATTGATTGATTAAGAAATGTTTCAGTTTTCTGAGAAAGAGAAGTCTGAGTTTCTATTAGAAGTCAATCGTCAAATTTAATATAATGACTGAAATATTTCAGTGTGTGTAATGAATTACTGAAATTTAACTTTCCATGTTTTGAGTTGAATTACTGAAGTAAAGTAAACTTTAAATCACTTTCTAATTTATTATGACGCACCTAAAATGCAAGTATCCATGTTCTGTGATGCTTTCTGAAAAGCACATTAGTGTAGACACCACATTTACCCACTAGGTGGAGTAAAAGGCCCTCTTATGGCATTTAGAACCTGAACAATCCTGAATTTTTGGAAGCGTTTACTTTCCCTTTCCGTTTAGAGCAGTGTTTTTCAACCTGTTTTGAGTGAAGGTACATTATTTTAATTGAAAAAAATCTCGAGGCACACCACCAACCAAAAAAATGTAAACAAAGATACTCTGTAGCCACCTATATTACATATATAATCATTCTTGTCAAAGTGTCTTGAATAGGAATCAAATAAACACAAACATTTATTTTTATCATATTTTACATTTATTTCAAATTGCCCTTAACAATGTGGTCTTAAATTTACAGAAGTTGTAGAAAACTCCAAAGTGTTTTACAAACTAATCCACAAGCATTCTTTTAGCCAGAATTCAGAAAATCATTCTTATTCTGAAAGAAGCAATAATATTTGTTAAAGATTTTACTTCATATTCACTGTTACAATATGAAGAGTTGCATGTACAAAATGTCAATATCTGTATATTTTACCCATCTAGTGTGAAACCTGTGCATGTTTGGATGAAAACAGCTGATTTCTTGGCAGAAATTGAAGAAAGACAAAGCTCTTCCTCATCAGCTCTCAGTCTCTCTGGTTTCAGTTTTTATAGTAGCCAGGCTTGAGAAGCTCACTTCACACAGACATGTTGTGGGAAATGGACCCAGGTTCTTTCCAACTACTGCTGAGCTTCACTGTCTTTTCCATCACTGTTGTCACAGTCTTGCTAGATAAGAGGCTCTCACCGCTACCTGTAACATTCATGCATCACTAATTCTCTTGTTTTAATGTAAAATGCTCTGTACCTACTGCCATCTACTGGTAAGAAAATTACATGATTACGCCGCTAGTCACTACTACAGCAGAGACACTCGAAGATGGCATTATTTACGGATAATTAATTCATTTCCAAAAAATCTTTTAAGACCAATTACCATAATTTCCGGACTAAAGAGCGCACGCACCATACTATAAGCCGCACCTTCAAATCCTCCCCCCACCAAAAAAAGGAAACGTATATATATAGCCGCTGGTATCTCTGCTGCTCTCGGTTTTCCATAATGACCCAGCAGAGGGCAGCAGAGGGCTGCGTCCTAATAAATCTGCTGGATGTATTAAGGAGGCAGTGCTCCTCTCCAAAGCCGAACCATGGTTTCGTTCACCCCGAGTTTACGTGCAGCGGCTCTATTTCCATCCTGTAATGCCAGATCAATACTCCTCAACTTAAAAGCTGCATCATATGAGGTTGAAAACATTTCTCATTCGTGCGTGTTGCTAGCATGTGCTTGTTCTAAATGAAAATTAGCGCGTTCTTCTTTGATTTACAATTTTGACTTCGAATGATTCACTTCATGCTAAAGAGCCCCCTGGTGGTTGAAGAAAAATCCACAGAAAAGCCGCCGAGGGCTAAGCCGCATGGTTCAAAGCTTAGGAAAAAAGTAGCGGCTTGTAGTCTGGAAAATACTACCGAAGGTGAAATTGGATAATTTCCACAGCACCCCTGTCGATCACTCACGGCACACTAGTGTGCC